AGCATAATGTGTTTTCATGCATACTTACATTCTGAGTTCAGAAAGGAGCTCTTATAATAAAGCAATGAAAAAATAAGAAATAAAGCTCCTATTTTAAAAGGAAACGTTTTTTATACTCACTTATCTGCAGAACCCACAAAACATAAGGATGCTTAGATATTTCAAACCCTTCTGCATTTGGCTCATTTTCTTCTCCTGGTTGTCTAAGTGATCAACAGCTTACTGGGTACTTGGAATAATAGATTTAGTATGGAGTGTGAAAATGTTATAATATCTATACATGACTTACCATAGATGTAGGAACTTAGCTCCTACACCAGACTTTCAGATATAATGTAGTTAATTCTGCAGAGAGACCAAATTGAAGTATGCTTTTGGCAAAGCTGTAGAACTGAAACAGGTCTTGGTAGATGGAAGTGACCAAGATATCTGCCTCTTGGATTATTGAGGATAATCTCCATTGGAGACCGGGGGGAAGGCCAGGCAGTATTTGGTACCACATAAAAATAAATGAAAGATCATGGCTCATAGTTACCTATCTGGAGACATCTCAGAGGGTATGTGTAACAAACAGTTCTTTCCGGACCCTATGCGGATGACACGAAGAAGTGAGGAAACACTGGGGAAAAGTCATGCAGGAATACAGGGATGAAAACGGGGGGGTGTGTCAAAAGTGCGCTGGTGCACGGGGGAGGTGTGGCCGAGGCAAACAATCCAAAAACGCAAGAATAAGTCCATAGGCACGTGATCCATCCAAACCAGGAATTAAAACATGAACCGGGTCGGAACCGGCGGACAGGGAACAGGAATAGAGGTTAAAACCTTAAGGGACCAGGCGCTTCCAGGTCCCAGACTCGCACGGTGTGGAAACCAGATGCAGAGCCAGGATGAACGTCAGCACCTGGCTTTTAAGGTGGACTGGGAACAGGGGTCAGGTGCACAGAATTAAATCCAAAGTGAAAGGGCAGGAGCACCCTTAAGGAGGAGAGACTATAATCGTGACAGTATGCTGAGTTGAAGCAAAAATGTGGGTTCCCACCTATATGTAAAGCTCTTTGGGGTCCTTTGAGGATAATGAGTACTGTGTAAATGCAATTTATTTAATTCCTTCTTAAACAATTCTGACTGTTAGCTTGGTAGGCCAAACTCTCAAACTATATGCTTTTCTTCCGAATTCTCATCGAAGAACTTGTAGCCATGTTGAGAATTGAATGGGGGTTCCCCAAAAGATCTTCATCTATCAGGACACAGTCCTAGGGGGACCTCCTGACTGATACATGGAGTTGGCAAGTTTCTTTGGAGTCACTTTTTATGATCCACTGCCACATTGACAGCTTTATGGATTGTTTCAAAATCATATGAAAAGAAAGGCTGAGTTGAGTGGCTGCAAACAAAGGCTAGGAATCTTGTCTCTCTTAACATTTCCAGTCTATATTTCCAGAAAGGGTTCTATAGGTGTTTTGGCATTACTAGCTATTGCAAGGGAGACAAGCTGGGGAATTCACAATATCATATGAAAGCTGAGGTCAGAAACAGTTATGGTTGTCCAACAGGAGCCTCCATGTCAATGTCAGTAATCTACTGTACCAAATTTTGAAAGTGATTCATATTGTGAAGGAACACTCTGTAAAACAAGTAAGGCAGAAGTATCTGTATAATCACCAGGCTACTCCATACAGTTTCAGTCAGGAGACTGGGAAATGGTCCTACTTCTAACACCAGACTATGAAAAGATCTATCAGTGGGACTGAAAGAAAAAGAAGCTGAATGCCCAGAGGGCTCAGATCTGATGAGAAATACAGACTCTGGGAAGTAAGTCCGTGTATGCTTGTTGTCATTGCTTGAACCAACAAACATGCACAGATTTACTTGTAAGCATGTAAGCATACAATGCTTACATGTCTTCTCAGAAGCTCAGGGGTAGGAGGTTTATGAACTTGTACAGAGAAATGCTGCAATGTTTTCTGAACTCCTGCATCCTGGACCCCCTGCATCAGACATTAGATTGTGATCAAGCCTGGAGTAGTAGTACCTGTTCCAATTTCTCAGAGCAAAAAAGATGTAGACAAAGTATTGGACCTGGGTGCCATCAAACAGTAATAGTGCCTGGACTAGCACTGCAAGGTCTTATGTTTCAATGCCTATCTGATGCCCCAGGTGGACAAACTACTGGGAATACAAGGAAAAGCTTATTCACTGACCATGATCAAACAAGTGGCAAATACTCTTGACTAAGGAGTGCAAATCTAAGACTGAGATGAAGTTAGCTTGGTAGCCCAAAGTTTTGGAACTGTGCTCTAATACAAGCACCTAAAAAAAACTCAAATTAGTGAAATATGAGATGCATACCTGCTACATTATTCTTGGCAGCCTTTTTAAACAACAACCCACATTTCGTCAGGGGATTTTCCACTGTTTTGTTTATTCATCTCAAATCTTTTTTAATGGACCCACTGACTAACTATAACTTGAAGTCTGGACAACTGATTCAGGTCTCAAGTCAGAAAGGCCTCAATGCTACACATACTGTATTCAGGAAATTCACTATTAATCAAAACAGATTCTAAGTCTAAAGTAGAGTTAACTCAAAGCTGCTAGCAGAGGAAATATGAACAGCACTATTACTGAATCTTGGCAACCTCTTTTCCTACTCCACAACAGACCAGTTAAACTTTGGAGTCTTTCCAAGATATATAAATAAAGAGCATGCTCTTTGCTTTGCTATACATAGACTTTATATCTATGCTACTGGGTCTGGTCTAAAAAATACTTCTAAACTACTTAAGTAAAATGGTTTCTTTCTTTTTAAAAAACTTTTACATTCTTAAAAACTGTTCATCGACCTATAGTTATGGGAGAGGCTTCTTTATATTGATACAGGCATGTCTGAAATTAAAGTTTAAATACATTTTTCATACTGATTTCCGTTGATCATTTAAGACCACGTAAACATTTTTCTCATTCAGTTTTTGAGACTTGTCTTACACATTAGTAACCAATCTAGAGTTATGATTCCTTCTGAATGAAAGAGAGGAAAACACTACTGTTATTCTATACACAAGATTTACCTTTTGCCAAAGCTCACATCATTTGTAAGTGTTGTTAATGCAACAGATAAATGGTGTGAACATGATCAGTTCCCCTGGTCTGTGGGATTGCTGCCCATTAATGGTTAGACTAATTGTGGGTAGGCTGAGAAAGGTAGGTTTACTGTGGGATTTTCCATAAGGATCAGCTAAAGTTAGCCCACACATGCTTGATTGGTTTAATGACTGCTGCTTAATAAGCTCTCTTTCCATCTTTGCAATGCATTCAGTAGGAGCTATGAGCAGAGTCTTCAGCTAATCTCCCATAACTTGACTGTCTGCTTTGAGCAAATCCCTATTTGCATAAACAGCAGCATGTCTCCTATGGAAAAATTCAGCTGTGCCCCACCTGTGGCCTAACTCACATTACATCAAAGAGAGTTGGGACATCAACACTTTGTGAGCATAAATCATACAAATCCTAAAATGTCTTTGTAATAGACAAAGCCATTTGTCTATTCAAATGGCCAGTAGCCATATCGCCCTGCAACCCACAACTGGCAACCCACTGAAGCTAAGCAGGTGTGAGCCTGGTCAGTACCTGGATGAGAGACCTCCTGGGAAAATCTAAGGTTGCTGCTGGAAGAGGTGTTAGTGGGGCCAGCAGGAGGTGCTCACCCTGTGGTCCATGTGGGTCCTAATACCCCAGTATAGTGATGGGGACACTATACTGTAAAAAGGCAGCGTCCTTCGGATGAGATATAAAACTGAGGTCCTGACTCTCTGTGGTCATTAAAAATCCCAGGGCATTTCTTGAAAAGAGTAGGGGTGTAACCCTGGTGTCCTGACCACATTTCCCATTGGCCTTTAACAATCATGGCCTCCTAAAAATCCCCATCTATGAATTGGCTTCATTACTCTGCTCTCCTCCCCACTGATAGCTGATGTGTGGTGAGCGTTCTGGCGCACTATGGCTGCCGTCGCATCATCCAGGTGGGGCTGCACGTTAGTGGTGGAGGGGAGTCCCCATTACCTGTAAAAAGTGCTGTGTAAGCAATTATTATTAATAACTGCAGGTTTTCTGTCATTTTAATGCTCACTGGACTTCCTGATAAGTTTTGCTCCTTAATTTCAATGGATCAGTGTTTGTGTTCAATTATATAATCCATCTGTCCATTTTCTAACGGCTTTATCCACTATAGGGTCACCGGAGAGCTGGAGTCTATCCTGGCAAGCAATGGTAGCATACACAAGGTAGGATACACCCTGGACAGGATGCCAGTCATCACAGGGCAAACACAAACGCAGACAAACTCACACAAGGGCCAATTTTCCCAGAGGCCAATTCACCTACCAGGTCCATGGACAGTGGAAGGAAACTGGAGAACCCACAAGAATACTGGGAGAACATACAAATTCCACACAGAGAGCACAGATTGAACCCTGGGCCCCAGTGGTATGAGGAAGCAATGGTTCCCACTGTGCTACCATGCTGCCAGTTACATAATCATTTATACTAAAAGCACTGTATACATCAATACTTTAATAGTCACATTTTATTTGTCAAATGAATGGGTCAAGAATTCTTTTCTCTTTTCAGTAATTTACGAGATGTAATAGAGGACTGTGATATTAGCACATACAGTATTAAGGTCTAACCCTAAAATCCAAGACCTGGACCTTGACCCCCAACAGACAAATGGACACAAGACAGGCTAGAACCCCGGATGGGACACCTTACCATTGCTGGGGACAGACAGGGGAGATAATTCAGAAATGCCAGTTAAACTTGACAGTATGTCTTCGGAATATGGGAGGAAGCCAGCACACCAGCAAAAACATTCTTATATAAAAGTTTAATTGCACAAGGATACAAAAATTAAATACAAAAACATGAAAATTATAACATTTTTGAGTAAAAGATTTAAGATTTGTGCACAGGCTGAATCAATGAAAAGAGTAAAACTAACAATGGCAATTTGCTTCACTTAAGGGCATTACAGTCATCCTTAATATACCAGGATATTAAACATTAGAACAGCATAATGCAAAAAGGAGAAAGATTTTTATATACACACACACACCAAATTAAGCAAATTGTTTTGTGGAAATGTCAAGTAACATGTCCATTTCATGAAATCAGTGACAACTTTCCCCAATATCATACACAAAATCTGGGCCATTTCTGGGAATAAAAGGTTTCTTTAAACAGGACATCTGGTGTGCAACAGGCATTATATGGGTAGATGTGGATGCTTAACATGATTCAATAGAACCTGTACTATCATCTAAAAAAATAAATGCATGTTGTCAAAATACTAATAAAAAAAAGAGCATCTTAAAGCAAATGTTTCAAGAGTCCCACATCCTACGTTCATCAAGGATTAACACAGCACTATCTTTCAGTAACTCACTGTTTCCAAATTTGATACCCAATTATCTTGGCACTATTCTGAAGACCTAACCCAGGTTGAAGTGACTAAAATACTTCAGTGACCATGCAGATTCAGGTGTATCTATGCCTTAATATTCATATTTTAAAAGGTGGCAAAATATACAACACAATCTACTAGTAGTCACCTCCACTGTGCACTTTTGACATTCAAGCAGATTTAATTTCTAGAATTAAAAAAAAAAACTAGCACAGATTTTATTTTAAAATGTAGGTCAAGGTATACCAATGCAATATCATTTAATATAGTAAAATATAACCAAATCTAATATGGTCATGGCATACAAATAAAAAGTTCAGTGCATAATCAAACTGCCCCCACCTTGTCTATAAACTTGAGGCCAACAAGTATAAAGTGAATGTCAAAGTCTTGGTATGAATTAAGTAGGTCACCTAAAACAGCACTTGTAGTCAGGTTCATATTTTTAAGTACAGACATCAAGCAGATTACCGTTTCAGTTTGCAAACTACCTGGCAACATATCAACAGCAAAGCTATATTCAGTTTCTGGGTCGTGCAGACGAAGTTCAGTTTTAACAACCTGAAACATGCTGATATGACACTTGGCAACCAAAATAAAAGTGTCTTTGGAACCTTGCAGATCTCCTGCCTCTCACTTTCCTTATGCACCACCCAGAAATTTGACAATTAGCCAGCAGTCAGAGTGAAGCACGACGTGATTCAGCAGTCAGAATTACTCCTTAGTCCTGCAGTGCGCAGGAACAGTCTTCAGCGTGCATTAACTGGTAGAGCTGCAGGGAGACAAAAGAAAGCGTACACTTCAACATTGGAAACACCAAAATCTCTTGTACAACTTGTCAAAGCTTGAAGTAATGGATGTTAAAATTTATAGCAAAAAAAAAATCATACTGTCCTAATAAATTCAGGCAAAACTTGTATGAAACTTTGAATAAATGCCTAGAGGCAGCAAGATACTGAGGTTCATCAGAAAAAAATTAGGTAACGTTTTACTTACCCAGAGTAGACAGTCAAGATAACTAAAACTGGGATAGCCAAATGAATTGCTTTTGGAAGCATTACTTTACAACACAAGAAACTGTAAATATACTGTACTTTAAACCAGTAATTTTATTTGTTTCATGGACAGGTGCATCCTGCTTTCTATCAATACATGTTATGGGATACATGCATGACACTGAACAATTGATATATTAAGTTTCAATCTTGTTTGTTAGCAGATATGCACTTTGTTTTCGGCATTTTCCCTTAGACCTGAAATTACGTATATTATAGCACCCCAATATCTAGAGATACCCACTCTCAAGTAGACATCTACACTTTTAACTCTTTCCTTTAGATAGTCAAAGTTGTTGGATATTCTACCATCTGATCTCCTCTAGGAATGACTTGGACACCATTGATACATTTTCATTGCAGTTTACATCATCCTTACCTGCTTGTAGGAGGTTCTGAAGTACCTTGATGATGTGCTTCACAAACAAAGAAGTTCTTCAGCTACCAGCACTTCTCAAATGGAACTTGTATACCTTACCACCGTAACACAAAGACACAGGAGTTGAGAAAACTGACTGGCCCAGTTTGAGGCTTAGTTTTTATTTTGCATTCTCATATTTTTTCCCCCAAAGTCCAGGAAAGCATTTATATGTGCAGTATACAGGTATTCTGCGTTTACAGCGAGTGAACCAATTAACGTCAAATAGGAAATGTATTTAGATTTAAAAAGACAAATTAAACATCTACACATTTTTAAATCTGCAACATACAAGTATTATTTTGATCATTAAAAAACATTCTATAACAGTATTCTAGGTGTAAAATGTACCTACACAAAATAATGCATGCATAATTAACTGATATCCCATTACCTTCATATTATCTGATCGGGACAAAATTCACCAATAGCTTCAATTACTGTACAATTAAATTATTTCCTCTAAAACTATCACATTAACACGCAACCGCGGACGTACATAAATATATAAGCAAAACTTTTAAGCAGAACTCTCAATGCCTACCTTGTGAAACAGGGGCCTTTTCATGATCACCAGAGCAGTCGCAACTGGAAGAGCTTGTAGATGAATTGCTTGAAGTAGAATTCAAGCGAGCTACGAGACAAAAACTAAATTTTGGCGTTTTGTATCAACTGTCTATGAACAATCAAACTACGAACGAATCCAACCAGACCTACGTAAGCAACCTAAACTAGTAGTAGATCAATACACTTACAAATAAATGAAACTTACTTCGGTAAAACTGATTTCTTGCAAGAAGGCAGCCAGCCGATGGAACAGATGCCATTTTCAATGCTGTTCACGGATGCAAACAATTACCTAGAAAGTAAAAATATCTGAGTTGGCATAACAGCTTTGAATTAAGTCTGCAAATACGCTGACGCTAAAAAAAAAAAAAACCTTAGCACGAAACTGAAAACTTATCTAAAACTAAGAAATTCCCGATTTGATTAAAGTATAGAATTTTACAGAAATAAACTTCGCAAGCAGAAAAAAAAAGCTATGCGTTTCAGAAAGACTTACATTGACTTTTCAGCCTTCTTCTTGGTCAGTCCCTTCCTACTGTAGTTTTCTCCCGAGACGTTTTGAAAGAAGGCGCAGACCCCGCTGTTTTATAAAGCTTGGGGCAGGGCTGTAAATAGTGAGCGGCAGGCTCGCACGTGGACAGAGCGCCGCGGAAGGAAACAAACTGGATGGCTGCGTGCCACAGCAGCACAAAGGGCAACACGGGTCTGTGACTGGAGCAAGGACGGTGTGTACTTGGCGCAAAACAGAATACATGATTCATTTCACGGCTACGCCAACGAGGCATTCCCTCTTAACGTAATTAATACGGTAAATGCCAATAGCTTTTAATTTGACTACTAGGGATCTTACAATGAGACACAGTACATTTCTGTTTTAACTATAATAATATTATGTTCGTTCTGAATATCTGACCCCTTGAGCAGCAATGCATCACAAAATAACAATCCTGTGCAGGGTATCTCCGTTGCTTTGCATTAATTAATACACTTTTTAAACATCTTTTCTCTTCATTAATACTGTGAGGTAATGATGCAGGCTTCCATAAAACTGTGAATGCACAGAAATTGTTTTAGTACAATTTGTACGTGGAACCGCCAGATACAGTACTCATACTATTTAGCACTTTAATGTGAAACGTTTGCTTACTCAATGAATATAGTGGCAAGCCCGGTTCCGTGTAGGTGGTGTGGGGAATAACAGGCTGGGGACAACTGCTTCAGGCTCACTGACAGGTTTATTGTCCTTCTCATTACAGTGGGGCGTGTTAGTCATAGTGCAGGAAAATAGCTGGGAAGTTAAAGGGAGAGAGAGAGGCACAGGCATGCTGTGGATGCACATGAGGGGGAAGAGACAGAGGATCTCTCCCTGTTTTTGTAGAGGGACGGGCAGGAAAGGGTCAGTCTTGAAGGGTCAAGGGAAAAGGTCACGGGGACAGTCCAACACTGTGGGTGAGGAAAGCTGCCCCCCCCCTGAGGGAGACTTCAGAATTCCAGAGTTTGTTTGACAGTCTTTCCTCAATTTCTGGGAGCAGCAAGGGTCTGGTGTGAAGAGGAAATATCAACCTCAGGGTTATCTTTTCCAGTAGAGGGAACCTACTGTTGGAGCAAGTGTGGACTATTGTCCAGGCAGCATCCACGGATCCCACAAAGCTCGACTAAGTAGTCATGGACAGTCTTACCGAGTCTCTGAGGGATGGGGGGCAGGGGGGGGCATACAGCTGCCTTATCCTCCACAGGACACAGAGAAGCCTGCACCCACTTTCTGACCTTTGTGAGCCTGTTTGCTGTCTGTCCTCTCTGGAGAGCGCAGGCTCTGGCTATGGGTCTATGCAGCGAATATCAGTGTTATCCCCTTCGCACCCACTCTCTGCCCATCCCAAGTCCAGTTTCATTTCTCTTGCTGTCCTCTTTGGAGGGCGTGGGCACTAACAGCAGGTTCCAGTGGCTTGAGGTCGGTTTGGTGCGAATGCAGAACAAGACAATATATTTCCCGTAATGGGGTGATGTCCATAATACAAAGAGAGATCATGGAATGATATATACAAGAAAAATAACATTGTGATATTCTTAATGAATGCTCCCTTTTTGCTCTACATTTCAGCGACTTGGGGAAGAAAGATAAATAAAGGCACTTTTCGATGAACACAAAACGGATCTAATGCTCTTTTTGCAACACATACTGAGTGGGTGATGGCATACTATATAGCATTCTCTAGCACGGCAAGAGGTGTGCCCACAAGGCTTTGTGTGTATACACTAAAATGCACTTTTGTTCTGACCAGAGTGTAGTCCAGCCTTGTACCTAGGGCCTGCTGGATTAGGATCAGCGATGTTTTATCAGGCATTCTACTATTGTTAGATACAATATGTACTGTTTATATACTGTAAAAGTATTGTAAAATGTACCGATTGAGCTAAGTGTAGAAAACTCAATCCATGCCGCTCCCCAAGGACTAGTTGTTGTGAACTCCTGGAACCAGTTTCTTAATGATGTGAAGCTCTGGATCTCGAAACATGCTGATAGTAGTCATGCCCTTGCTGTATATCAGATTCAGGCATTTCGATAATTAAGTCACATGTTGGGCATCCAATGCAGTTAAAGGATAACTCTGGGAATTGGAGCCAGGAATTCTTACAGTGCATACGGTAAGTCCCTGAAGGACACAATTCGGGAATAAAAAAGAGTGCCGGGCACTCATGTTTTGGGAACATTGGGTATGGGTTTTTTTTTGCGCAACAGTTGGTGAAACAAAAAAAGTATCTAAAAGATTCAATGTTGTTCTGAAACACCTGTCAAGATGGAAGGAAATTAGGACAGATGCTATGATACAGATATTATTCTACCTCCGAAATGTCTACGTTTGTTAAATTCTTAGGGGAAAATGCAGCTTTAGAAATCACTGCCTTACTGAAATAGGGTGAGCATTCAATAATATTTTAAAAGAAGTTACATTCCCCAGAAATGTGACCACCTAGTGAGTTTTATAAAGAGTGGTGAGGGGCCTTTTTGTGTGGAAGGAAGTGATGCTCATGATTCCCCAGCAGCTAAAAGTGGTGAGATAATGTCAAAGCCTATTCATATGCAATGCCAGATATCTCTGGATCCAGTGGCACAAAGTTTCATTGTCCCAGGATTGAGAAATATTAAATATGTTGTAACTTTGAAATCTCGGTAAAACTGCTTTTGTGACAGTAACAGAGAACGCTACTACATTCTTGCAGCCAGACCTTGGGATTAAAAGGCTCTAAGAAAGCCCGTCACCCGATATTTATCACAGTTTAAGAGTAGAAAGAGTTGCGATGCACAAGCTGGAATAAAGAAACCAAGAAAAGGGAGGGCATTGAAGTAACACCAGCATGTGTTTGAGTTATTTTGGTTTGTGCAATCTCTCAAACAAAGCCAGGAGAACCACATGGAAATTCAGAATCCTCTGAGTCTTGACGTCATGTGCAAAGTTTGTTGGCTGCACTACCCAAGGCAGGGGTCTTCCACAGGGGTAAAGGCAAAGAGCTTGAATACCTGTAGTGAACAGAGCAAATGAATGCCCAATGATTCCTTTCCCCGGCAGTTCTTCACCAGGGCTAAACTACTGGATTTTAATTAGGAATACTTCTAATTAAAAACGTGAAATAGGTTACAAATAGCAACAAGAATGAGATATTGAATTCCATTATACCTCTGTGGGTTGCAATAGCATTTAAACTTTAAAGACTCAGAAGCCTTAATAAAATGATAACACTGATAGGACTGTTAACACAGTAATCATGTAGAACATGAGTGTTTTTGTAGAATTGGAGACAAAAAGAAGCAAAAATACTTAATACAGAAAAATGTTCATAGGAATAAGGAAGGAAGGTTTTAAGGGACTGATTTTAAGTGCTGTGGCAAAGTGCTCAGAGCTCTCATACTAATTAGTGAACATATCAAATGAATGACTAGGTGTGTGATATTTCGAGTGTTAATTACTTATTTCTTACATTTCTGCCCCAGTACAAAAGTAATGTATTTTAATTACAATCATGTTTACCTGACAGACTACTCGGGAATGAATTGTTGATGGTTGAGTTCAAACTTGCCTTATTATGGAAGTCTGGGTAACTTTGTAGTATACAGTACTAAAAGGGATTTTTTTATTGTTTAAAGAAACTTGTAGAAAGGATTAAAAATAGAACAGTGTGATAAATATATTTTTTGATCATTTTAAGAAAATGGTAAATGCCAAAACATCTCTTAAGTTATTTCCTTATTTCATCCTTGGAGACTGGAGATTCGGTACAACCTGGAAATAGAACTATAGAACAGACCTTGAGTTTTGGTAAATAAAAGTTCACCACTGTCTATGGAGTGATACTGTACTATCAATAGCAATCAGGTTGTTTGAATCCATGCAGGGGTAGTGCTAACATCATAATACGTTTTTTTAAGACAGAAATATCCCATTAAAGAAAATATGTAAAAACTTCAGAATAACACCATATTCCATTCACTTTTGTTGTTGACATACAGTATGTTTTAAAAGAAAATAATACAAACTACCATACAGGAGTTTGACAGTGGCAAGAAAAAAAGATCATATTCCAATAGGTTTTTAAAACACAATTATTTTAAGGTTGCCGTGGAGTGCGATCTTCAAAAAAATCTTTAACAAATTGAACATATCCGACTGCAGACATTATTGCTGTCCATTGCAGGAAGGATCGAAAGAATATTATGAAAATTCTCACGATCCATCTTTTTGTTAAGGAACTTTTTCCTAGAATCCTACTGTGGGTGCAGATTTTCTTTACTTTGTAGTGCATGACTTGACAAGGGTGTTTGACTGTTTGTTGTGATATTATGGAAGATCCTCCTGAACTATAGATATCCTCTAACATTTGTCAGCATCCTACACCTGTTACAAGATAATATGCATGCTATTTTGAATCTATTTTATGTGAGAGTCCCAGAGAGTTTTGAAGTCTAAGAGAGATACCTTTTTAGAGAGTGTGTTTGGAAGCCAATTAGCAGTTTAATATTAACAGCAAGGAACTTGTTGAGGAAGTGTAGTCAGAAGTTCAAAGAGGAGCTAAATTTTAGTTTTGAGATAATCAGTTTTGGATTATTTTTTGCAGACTGTAAATAAAAGCACTAGTTTGTTCCTTAGACACACAAGCTGTCTTTTCTTGGGCCTGCTTATTTTTAAGATCCTGTTACAACACCCCAACCCCTAAGTGTCTCACTGTTGCCAATAGTAGACTTTCAATTCAGCATTTATGAGACTACAACTCCAAGAATGCTATAGGGGCAATTAGAGGACTGGGAAGTTAATCACTGTTGTTTTCCTTTCTGTCTGAGACTGTGAATAAAAGGATATAACAACGTTCAACAATCTGCTGAGGAAAAAAAATATGAAGAGTTGTTAAGGTTCTTTTGTTAGATGTAAAATGCTTGGTTTCCTTTAATGGTTGGAAAGGGAGCTAGTTTCCTTTAACGGTTGGAAAGGGAGTTAACTACCCAACACCATAGTTATTAATGTGTATTTAATTTTATTGAGGATTCCATGGAGGGGGTTAAGATTCTTCATCCTTCTTTTTTCAGTTTGTTTAAATTGTTAACATTTTA